GGGTTTGTGGCTGCACAGTGACCTCTGTGTCCATTCAAAGAAGTGCAGGAGCCATCCAGCAGAAACAGAGCTGTGGGTGTACAGCCAAGGAAGATGCCAAGGATTTTCAGGGACTCAGCTGCAACAGGAGGAATTGTAAATATTGAAAAAGTGTAAGAACACCTGCATTTGTTCTGAGTGCAAGAGGGTTTGTTGCTGAACCAAAGATCTTTCTTATATTCTAAAAAGTGATGCCTTTGTTTGGGGTATCTTCATCTATCTAGTCTAGTCTAACAGAGTCAGTTATTTGTGAATAGATCACACCAGATAAGTTATACAGATGATCAAAGCTCAACTCTTTCAAATACTAATCTTGGCATCTGGGATTCTGGCTTTGTACACTACCAGCGTAGATCTAAAGTATGAATTTTGGCTCGAGATCCAGAAGAGTCCAAGGATTGCCAACTGAAAGGCTGGCTATATTGCATAACCTAAACTCACCTGAATGAATCAAACTGATGGCATTGTTTTGAGAGTTCAATTCCCAATTAATAAGAAGGTTTAACACCTAGTGATCAGTCTTTATTGTCCTGAAATGCACTGAGGAGAGAACTTGATCAAAACCAGTCAAAGCGACAGTTTCCACCTGTATGGATGGAAGGAGGGGATACAAAGTTACAGCTCCTGTTTCAGTCCTGAACTCCAGCCAGGTTTGTGAAGACACAAGCTGATCATAGGCATATCATGCATCCTCTCTCCTAATGCCAGAAGCTACACTGGGGAAAGGGACACTGGGCACAGACTGTCCTGACAGCCTCTCTGCAGTGCCAGGGTCAGTCGTTTAGTCTTCAATTTTCCAGTTTCTCTCTACCAGGATATATTCTTAGGACCTGCTCCCCTGCACCCAGTAAATGATGTAAAATATCACCACTACTGTGTGACTTTCACAGCCTTTTACAAGGGTTAGAAGAACACACGGGTGCCATCCCAGCATCACCTCTCTTCCTCCAGCCTCACTTCTCATTTATTTCCACTGGTTGCATTTTGCAGGAGACTTAGCTCCAGGCAGGATCTCCTCCCTTTTCTTGCAGTTCGATGAGAGTTGCCACAGTGGGCTGAAAATGTACTGTTTACTTAGGGAAAGAATGGCATAGTGTAAGCTCTCATCTGGCATTTTAATCCAAGACACAATTAGTTGAGCAGTCATATCCAGATGCTAATACTTCATGAAAGTAACACTGCAATAATTCACAACTAGCTGAGGTGTGGCTTCCATGAGAAAGGCTTCTTGTGAGACTCTGCACACACCTGCCTGGAAAATCCTCCTCAAACACTACTAAAAGACTCATCTATAAAAGCACAGAATTTCCATCAGTCCTTGGGGATTTACACATCCGCAAAGACGAGGTGCATTGGCAGGAAAACCTGTCACATCATTTTGGATGTGAAGTCAGCACCTAAAAAGGTGGAGAGAGGCACCACCATTTTAAACTATCACTGTGGAATGTATTAACTCTGGCGAGATGCAAGAAGTGCTTGAAGAGGCTGCCTGCACAGAAAGCCAACTAAAATACTGCTAACTTAGTCCTGGGATTTATTCAGTTGTCTGAGTTTAAATCAGTTTTAGAAGCAACTCATGTAAAAAGGATGCAAAACCTTTTCAGCACTCCTAGTCTCATTTAAAGCTTGTTGAGTTTGATACTGATTTAGCTTAACACCACATCAAACTGGTGTTCACACAGGAGTCTTCACCTACTTTTAACAGATGCGTTTTTAAATAATATCTCACATTTCACAATTGCAACTCTTAATACAGACCTACAGGCAAAGCAACCTGAAGGTCCATCTACCTTCACATTGTGCTAAAGGGTTTTTGCCCTGACTCCAGTTAAATGGAGTCGATGAATTTTAGGAGGTTTCCACGCTACTGTAGAAATATTCATTTTTTCTAGAATAGTCTCTTCAAAGTATAACCAAATTGAGGTACACCTACTAACTGGATGTTTTTAGCTGCACATTACACTACGTAGAAGGAGCCAAATGTTCCCCTGTCACTCAACCCACTCCTGAAGATGTAAGTTGCTCTTTTTCTACTGTGGTTTGTAAAAAGAGGGGCTATCTTTTATCAGGCCAGATGTCACTGAGAAAAAAAAAGACAGATAAGCTTTTGGGCAGAAGCCCCTTCTTCAGGCCTGAAACAGCAGCAGTATTCTTGAAGGTGAAAACCAGCAGAGAATGACTTATATACTTCATTAGATTATGTAAGCAGGTAGACCATCTGAAAAAAAAAAGGGCACTGATATCTGGAGCAAAGGAAGGAAGAGCAGGGGAGGAGATAAAACGGGAGCTCCTCTGGCACACACAAAGAAAGCAATGAGTAATTTACTGCCTGAGGATGCTGAGGGACAGGGAATTGAATCCTGTGCCCTGATGTCTCTGTCAAGTCCAGGATCATTAGCAGCACTAAGCGTTTTAGGTCCCATGATGTCTTTTGAAGGTATTTTAGCAATGTCCCCTAAGAATCAGGGTTCAAGTGAGGTCTGGATTTATTTCAACTCTGACAGGCTGCTGCAGAGAAGTATGTCCAAAGGGGGAAAAAGAGGTCTAGGAATTACTGTCCTTCCACCTTTCATCTCGACCCTGACTACTGGGCTAAATCTCACTTATCCTTGGAAAAATATACCTGCCCCAAAAATTAACCACCCCTCTCGCCAGTGCAGAAGTGGCGTCTCTGAACATACCCAACTTGATTTACCTGAGGGAGTAATAATAGAAGGAGTCGAACGGCTTCTTAATTATTTGCCCATTTGAAAAACATCCCTTATTTGGAGAAGGTGCAGCACCCAGTACAGCGAATGAATGTCCATGTCCCAGTGTCCTGCCCTTGTAAGGGTCCGGAGCCACCCTGCAGTGTGTGAGCAGGGCTCACACTGCGGCAGTCTGTCCAGATGATGGAGATCACAATGAGGAGGCAGCAGCTGGAGGTGCCCAGGACAGCAGACACACACACACACCCACACCCACACACACCTGCCATGCTGCCCATGGAGGTGACACTCCAGCTGCGGCAGGACACGGGCAGCAGCGCTTCCCCAGGGTGTCTGGGAAAGACTGGGAGCACTTCTCCTTGGAAAGTCAATGTATGTATTTGTAGGGATAGGTACAATTTCAGAAGAATTTGTGATGGAAAGCTAGAACTCCATTTTGTTTAGGAAGACTGTGAAATGCCTTCTCAAATGGGTTAGATTTTTTTCTCCCCTTCCTTCTGCATTTCAGAGAAAGTTGCAGGGATAAGCTGTGAGCAATCTCTCTCTGTCCCTGGTATGCAGAGAGATAACATGTTTGCAGAAATGTACAAGGCCTACTGGAGCAAGAGAGGGTGGGGGAGGAGAGAAAAAAGATACAAAAAGCCTTGGAGAAGGTGGGGCATTGCCTTTTTCCCTGGGGGCCCAGTGTGTGCAGCATCATTAAGAAGTGGCCATTGCATCTAAAATAAACCTTTTTTTAATCCTTCCACTGCCTTGGCATTCTTGTGAAGAATACCTGCATATGCTTTACCATACAGCATTTATGAGTATGCCTGTGTTAAATGGGAAACTGGTTTGGAATATGTGGGTGCAAAGATGTTTTATAATACCACAGAAAGAAAAGAGAGCAATTCTCTCCCTGGGAAAAAAATCAGGAAAAAGAAGGGATGCATAGATGTGCCCAAGCTGTTTCCATCTTGCACCAACTGGAAAAACCAAAATGTAAATGTGATCGGCCCAGCTCAGTGACTCTGTGGAACGAGAAATGGGCCTGGGATATCTCAGAAACATCACAAGAAGCTAAACAAAAAGAAGAGTGTTACTGATAGGTTAAAAGATTAGAAGAAAGAGGAAAATTGGTGTTGAAACCCATGAAACACGAGGACAGGCAATGAGGGAGAGGCACCAGCCCTGCTCTGGCATGGGGCAGGACTGGCTGATCTCCGGAGGTCCCTGCCAGCCCTGACCCCCTCTGACTTGGGAAGGATGAAACCCTCCTTCCCATTTTGCAAGCTGAATATGAGTCAGCAGTGTCCTGGCAGCCAGGAGGGCCAACCATGTCCTGGGGTGCATCAGGCAAAGCATTGCCAGCTGGTCAACGGAGAGGATTGTCCCGCTCTGCTCTGCACTGGGGCAGCCTCACCTTGAATATTGTGTGCAGTTTGGGGCACTGCAATGTAAGAAAGATATTAAGCTGTTAGAGAACTGCCCAAAGGAGGGTAATGAAGATGGTGAAGGGTCTTGAGGGGAAGCCATGTGAGGAGCAGCTGAGAGCACTTGGTCTGTTCAGCCTGGAGGAGACTGAGGGGAGACCTCACTGCAGTTACAACTACAAGAGCAGAGGCAGACACCGATCTCTTTTCTGTGGTGACCAGTGATAGGAACTGAAGGAATGGCCTGAAGTTGACTAAAGGGGAGGTTTAGGTTGGGTATTAGAAGAAGGGTTCTTCACCCAGAGGGTAGTTGGACACTGGAAGAGACTCCACAGGGAAGTGGTCACAGCATCGAGCCTGCGAGCTCAAGAAGCGTTTGGATGATATCTCAGGCACATGGTGGGATTCTTGAGGATGGCCCTGTGCAGGGCTAAGGGTTGGACTCCGATGATCCTGATAGGTCCCTTCCCACGTAGCATATCCTTTAATTCTATGATTTTTTGCGATGAGGTCTCACAGAGCTCCCTGCCCTCCTTGGTGCCCCTTTTCTGGAAGGGTCCTCCCCTGCTCCGGCACCGCAAGGCGCGGCGAAGGATTCGGAGCTGAGCTGGGCGGCGCCGAGGCAGAGGCGGGGGATGCCACCCCAGCCAGCGCTGCGGAGCGGGGGCGCAGCGGCGGAGCGGGCGCGGTGGGAGGCGGTGGGAGCCGCCGGGTTCCCCCGGGTTCCCCCGGGTTCCCCCGGGCCGGCGCTGCGGGACCGCCCGGCCCGTGTCCCCCTCACGGGGCGCTCCCGGCAGCGGCCGCGCGGGGGCGCCGCCCGCGGCGGGGCGGGGCCGCGCGCAGTGCGCGTGCGCGGTGACGCGCGGGGCCGTGCCCGCTATATGAGCCCCGGCAGGCGCTGACTCGGCCCTTTCCGCCCCGCTCCCGCCCCGCGCCCGGGTAGCTGCGCTGAGACCCTGCGCCCCCGCCGCCCTCCCGCCGCCGCCATGATCATCTACCGGGACTGCATCAGCCGTAAGGCCGCGGGGGACGTGGTGGGGCCGCGGCGCGGCCGGGAGCGGCGGCCGGGCGGGTGCGCGGGGTGTGTGGGGGAGAGCGGGTTGGCCCGGGCGCCGGGCCTGTCGGTGCCGGCGCGCATGTGCGGTTTGGGGCGGGCGGGGGCGCGGGGCCTGGAGCGGGGCGGGCGGGCCTGACCCTGCGTGTGCGTGTGTTCCGCAGAGGACGAGATGTTCTCCGACATCTACAAGATCCGGGAGGTGGCGGACGGCCTGTGCCTGGAAGTGGAGGGGAAGGTGAGTGCCCGTCCGCCCCGAGGGAGGGAAGGAGGAAGGGAGGGAGCGGGGCAGGGATGCTGCGGTGACTCAGGGCCGGTGGGGAGCGGGGGCGGCGTCCCTGCGAGGGGCCCGAGGGAGGAGGGAGGGGGGTCCCACCACGGCCCGGTGCCTGTGCCGTGGCAGGGCCGACTGCTAGCCCGGGTGGTGCCTGAGAGAGCCCAGGTCAGCCGTGCTAGATCGTAACAGAGTCTGGGTCAGGCACCAGGAAAGGCACCCGGCGTGGCAGTCACAGAATCGTAGAATGGTTTGGGTTGGAAAGGACCATAAAGACCATCTAGCTCCATCCACCTGCCATGGGCAGGGACACCTTTCACTAGACCAGGTTGCTGAAAGCCCTATTCAACCTGGCCTTGAACACTTCTGGGGATGGGGCATTCACAGCTTCTGTGGGCAACCTGTGTCAGTGCCTCACCACCCTCACAGTAAAGAATTTCTTACTAGTGTCTAATCTAAACCTGTCTTTCAATTCGACCCCCTTCTCCTGTCACTGGGAAATTAGTGCTCAGGCTGCAGTCAGGTTGCTTGCACTGATCTGTGGCTCTGGAGGCAGGTCCTGCTCTCAGGTCATAGGTGTGTAAGAGTGGTAGCACTGAGGTTTTTTGCAGAGCCGTTAAGTTTTTTGATGTCTCTAAATCCAGATGGTCACCAGGACAGAGGGTCAAATTGATGACTCTCTAATTGGTGGCAATGCCTCTGCTGAAGGTCCAGAGGGAGATGGAACAGAAGCCACGGTCATAACTGGTGTTGATATAGTAATTAACCACCACCTTCAGGAGACCAGCTTCACAAAAGAATCCTACAAGAAGTACATCAAGGATTACATGAAAGCGTAAGTGTTGGTAGGCTTTTCCTTTGAATGGGATTGCAGAGTGGTTGAGATTCTAAAACCAGTGTTGGACTTATTCCTAGTAGGTGTTAGTTCTGATACAGGTGCGAAACTGGCTGTGAACTTCAGTAATGTCTGAATACTTGGCAGAACTGGAGCTCCAAAGATTGATGCTGGAATATCTATGTTTATCTTGGCTGAGGTAGAGGTCCTGATCACATGCTTTAGACCTAGTAATCTTGCTGTTTTCTTCTGTATTTCTTTATGCCAAACCTTCCTGTGGATGGGAGTGAGGTGGTAAAGAAAAGCTTTCTGAAGCTTTTCTAAGCTGGCAAATACCTAAAAAAACCGTGCGTGAATGGGATGTTTTGCTAATTCAGGATGTACTTTCTGTTGATCTCTGTTCAGTGGATTGCTACTAAAGGTGAAAACGCTTTGTGACACTGACAGAAAGTACTCTTGGTGCTGTGGAAATGAGTTGCTGATTCTTTTCTACAACTAGCCTAGAAATAAAATGATATGAGTAGCAAGCACTGTTTTGCTATTTCACTAGCAAAATTAAACTAAAATTTGGGGGCTTTGAAAGGGGGTGGGGGAAAAGCAAAATTAAAGTTTGACAGTTCATAACTGTTTCTGCTATGATGTGATGTCACACAGTGAAGTTAAAATTAGAATATGTTTTCAGAGTTTTGATTATCTTTTTTTCCCCCCTCCAGAATCAAAGCCAGACTTGAGGAACACAAGCCAGAGAGAGTAAAGCCTTTCATGACTGGGGCTGCAGAACAAATAAAACACATCCTTGCCAACTTCAAAAACTACCAGGTAACTTGTGTCTCCTTACAGTAGTATTGCAGTGTCACAAGCTGGTTCACTTGCTGAACTGGCTTGTTGAGGATTTTGAGTGCTCCTCTTTTGAGGATGTGCAACTTGCTCTTCCCTGAGACTTAGGGAGGAAAAACAGCAAAAGGATGGTAGGTGTTTGGTGATCTCATTTCAGCTCGTAGTGCTTGTAGGTAGCTACGTTTGTTGTTATTGTGGTTTAGGGACTGTGGAGTTAAAAGACTTGAAATGTGGATCACTTTGGCCCTTGCTGTGTCTTACACTGTTTGTAGCAGTGTGGTAAAATTACAGAATCACTGAATGGTTTGGGTTGGAAAGGATCATCTAGTTCCAACCCCCCTGCTGTGGGCAGGGACACCTTTCCATAGACTAGGTTGCTCATAACTCCATGCAAGCTGCCTTTGAATGTTTCCAAGGATGGGGCATCGCCAGGTTCTCTGGACAACCTGGACCTGTGCCTCCCGCCCTTATAGTTAAGAATTTTTTTCTAATATATAATCTAAATCTGTCCTCTTTCAGCTTAAAGCCATTCCCCATTGTTATATTGCAGTGTGCCTTTGTAAAAAGTCCCTCTCCAGACTTTCTGTAGCCCCCTTTAGGTACTGGAAGGCTGCTCTAAGCTCTGCCTGGAATCTTCTCCAGTCTGAACAACCCCAACTCTGTTAGCCTGTCTTCATGGGACTGGTGCTCCAGCCCTCTGATCATCTTTGTGGCCATCCTGGACTTGCTCCAACAAGTCCCCATCCTTCTTACCTTAGGGTCCCAGCTCCAGAGCTGGATGCAGCACTCCAGGTGGGGTCTCACCAGTGCAGAGCAGAGGGGCAGAATCACCTCCCTCAACCTGCTGTCCATGCTCCTTTTGGTGCAGCCCAGGATACAGTTGGATTCCTGGGCTGTGAGTGCATGTTACTGGATCATGTTGAGTTTTCTGTCAACGGTACCCCAGGTCTTTCTTCTTGGGCTTCCTATCCATTCTCTGCCCAGCCTGTGTTTGTCCTTGGGATTGCCTTGACCCAGGTGTAGGACCTTGCGTTTGGCATTGTCGAACTTCATAAGGTTCCTTGGGCCCAGCCTCTCAAGCCTGTTGCCTTGGATGGCATCCTTTCCCTCCTGTGCTACTGAAATGGACAAGCCGTGGAGAGCAAAGTCCCCACAGCTGGTCAGGGAGGCTTTTAAACTGAACTTGGTGACTTTGTATTGTCACTGTATAAAAATGCATTTTCTCCTGGAAATGGCTGATTAAATGTCTCAGTAACACATTGCTCTGAAGTTCTTTGTAGGAGAGAACATGAATCCAGATGGTATGGTGGCTCTCCTGGACTTCCGTGAGGATGGTGTAACCCCATATATGATTTTCTTTAAGGACGGCTTAGAAATCGAGAAATGTGTAAGTACTGACCTGAACTGGATGAATGTGCCTAACTATGTGATGAGCTCCTTCAGTGCAGTGCTTGTTTTCTCTTATGCCTGTGTAAGTTGAACAGTAGCTGCCAGTTTAAAAACTGAGAAGTCTGTGTAAGTACAGCCTATTTGGCGCTTCGTATTGTGCGCAGTGCCTGAAACTTCCCTTGAACGCTATTAACGTGTACTAAATGGGCATGTGGTGTCACAGCAATGATTCATGGTGACTTAATGGCTAAGAAATGCAGAAGGAATTGCCCTGGTGAGATGTGTGTAATTGGGAATGGTTTAAACTATTAGATCAAAAAGACAATGTGCTCTGAAATGAAGCACTTGTAGTTTGGATCCCTCTGGTGGGGTTTAATTGTGTACTACCTTGCGTGGTCACGTTCCATCTTTCACTTAATCTGATGCCCTTTTTTTTTTTTTATGCAAGAACTGTCAGTTTAAATATTGCCCTAAATTTTGGAACGCAGTAATACTTGACCGAGTATTCAACCTTATTCTCTCTGGAATCTCCAACTACCCGAGCTCAAGACAGCTCCTGTGGTCTGCTTTAACTACTCCATATTAGAATATGGTTGCAACAAAGCAGTATTTGGATCCCAGCACTCACGTTCTTTTGCTTATTTGGACAGCTGTGGAATTCACTGCAGTGTGGGATCATCCATTGCTTTGCCCAGTCACTGTGGACTTACAAAGTCTGTTAATAGCCAGCTAAATTTATCTGTAAAGCCTCTTAAAAACTTTCTGGTATGCAAATCATGTAAAGATGAGCCAGCTTCTAGTGTGGATCAGTAGGCAAACGAAGGAATGCGTTTATTGGCCAAAACAGACCTGGCACCTCCTGCAGCCTGATGGAAGGGTGATGCTTGTTCTGGGCCCTAGAACAGGCCAGACCTGGAAGGCACCTCCTGGGAGCAGAAGATTGTGTGCATCTTCTCTACAGGGGCACACCTTTTGGATGTGCCGTTTGGGTAACCTACGTCTGCTTCAAGATGGAGTAAAAGAATATTGACAGGGTATTCCAGTTTTAAGAGATTACATTGTATGCTTTGGTACACGTTTAGGATGTGCTCTTACATGAGAGGGAATCTGAACCTTGGTGTGTCAAGCAAAAAGGGTATGAATGAGTATTCTGTCCAGCTTGCTCAGCAGCTGATTGGTGCCAGGTGCTCTGTATGACTGTAAAAATTATCAGCATCCTCTGATAGACCATGGGCACTTTTCCTGTTGCTCTCTGGTTTGCACTAAGATGCGAAAACAATTTCCTTGTGCTTTCTGCCTGCCTGACTGTGGCAGCTCAGATTGAATTAGGGAAAACACAGATAAGTTGTAGGAATTTACTGTGACTGTCGTGACCCTTGAGCTAACACTTGTTACTCTCGTTTCAGTAACAAATCAAACAGTATGGTTTTGGATCACTTGTCTTCATAGCTGGCTGCTGTTTCTTCTTCATCGGCACAACACCAGGAATCGGCAATGTCTAACAACTGGACTGATGTCATCTTGAGCTTTATTCACTTATTTTGACCCTGATTTGGAGTGGAGGCATTGTTTTGAAAAACGAAAAAAAACATCTATCATGTAGGTTGTCTAAAATAAAACTCATTTAAACCCATTCTAGGTAATGTCTTTTGGTCTGATGTGTTTCTTAAGGTGACTTACAGGAGAGATTGCAGCAAGGATTTGGTACTGTCAGTAGCATAGCCTGGTGCTAGTGAGCTACAACTGGACTGTTTCCAGACAGATTTCACTGTTTGCCTGTGGCACTGGAGTGCAAGAGAAGGCTGAGGTCGATAAGGCAAAGTCCAAGAAATGTCATAATGGAGTGGACCACCTTCATCTTTCATGATTGCACAGACTTATCTCTGGAAAAGATAAGAAATAAATAATAAAAACCCAGAACGGAAATGTGCTATTCAAGCTGAGTGCTGGCTGAACTTCTTTGTCAGACAAGAATACTTGAGTTTGTCCTCAGTTCTCATATGGCTCCAAGATCAAGGTAGGAGATGACCAGAGGGAGCAGGAATCTTAACACCAGCACTCTCTGAGCCTAGGTACTGGGAACTTTGTGGGGAGAGGGGGAAATGACTAGGTTTTCCAACACAGCCTGGCTGTCGTACTGGCTCCTTTGTATTTGACAGCTATTGAAGGGATGATGTTAGCTAGAGCTCTGTTGAGTTGCAGGATTTGGGGTGGTTTCTGTATTTGAGCTCCTGGAGAAAGCTGTTGGAATGGCCTAGCCCTAGCCTTCCTCCAAACCAGGTGCACATCTGTGCTTGAGACCTGAGTATTTATAAAATGCTGTTCCTGCTGTGTTCCTCGTTAGGAAATGCATCTGTTTGACAGACCTGGAGCAAACACCGTTGCTTCTCTGGTTCTTTCTGAGATGCAACAGTAACAGGTTCCTTGCGCTTTCTACCTGTCCGACCCTGTGGCAGTTTGGATTGAATAAAGGAACACAAATGCCTTCACAGCCCCAGCTGTCGCTGCTGACTGTGTGTGCGTGCCTGACCAGGGATGTTGCCTTGGACTGCAAATGATTAACTTTTTTCCTACTGCAGCAATGGCAGAGGCATAGGAGGTTAAGGTGCCTGAAAGGGGAGGGCATGGCCCACTCACCAGCTGTGAGTTTTTGCATCTTCGCTATCATGTGTCAGTTTTTGGCCCCTGGTACTGCAGGGTGGAGGTGGAGGTACATTTCTGCAGGGGTGAGATAGATGTGGCAGCAGGCAGGGAGGAGTGAGAGACTGGAGGAGGGAGTGGAGTGTGCCCTAGTTATCTCTGAGGTTCCTGTCTGGTTAAATACACCCTATTTTAGGTCTGTGGGAACTTAATTTTTTTTTTTTTTAAACTTTCCCAAGAAAGGATCTTGGGCCAGCTGAGCTTCTGGATGAGGTACAATTATGGTGTAACCTGCCTTCACCCAATGGGGCTGAAAGGGCAGGGAAGAAGGTTCAAAGCCTAAATAAAATCACTTGGGAGACAACTCTTGCTTTCCTTGCAGAGGATTTGTTTAATGGGACCACGTGAGGCTGTTATCTTACCTTTCCTGTTGCATCCTCATTAAAAACTGGGAAGAATAAAGGAAAGGGAGAGGAAGCAGGTGCTTAGTTGAGCTAAAGTTAGTGTGGGAAGGGCAGTGCTGGTATGGCTGTGCAGCCCCTAATAGCCCTGGCTCCAATTTTCAGTGAATCATAAGTGTTTAAAACTGCGAGGAGCTGATATGTGGGAGTGGAAATGGCTCCTCCCCCTTCCTGGCTGGTTGTGCTGAGGTTGGGAGCCCCGGGCACCAGCCTGGAGCAAATTGCCACGTGGCACCTGTGTACAGATGAGGTGCTGCTTTAAAAAGCAGGTGCTTCAAACCATGATGAGCACAGCCTTGCTGTTTGGTTGAGTGGCAAATTGTGTGTCATCCTATCTTCTTCCAGGCTAATTGGGATATTAAATTGGTGTGTGCAAACATGCCTAACTAGAGGGTTCTGTGCTCCAAAGAGTCTCCTGTGCTTTCCTGCACAGCAGAGCCTCTGATGGGAAGTCTCCTTCCAGCCTGCTGTAAAGGAAGTGTCAGTTCAAAGGCTCTGGAGATGAGGGACTTGGTTATGTTTGTTTTCTTCAGTGAACTGCAAGAGGAGTGGTTTTGCTGCTTGTTGCACTTGCTGCACTTCTCAAAAAATGTATTGCTGTCTTTCAGTTTCTCAGGGAAAAGGGCAAGTCCTGCTGCTCTGCAGTGTCAAGTCTGTCAGTCACCAGGGAGGACAGGTTAAACCACAGTCAATACCACAGTGCTGTGGTAGCTGCCTGCTGTGGAGCCTGGGTGAGGGAGAGTTGGGAAGTCACTGCATCCTGGTAAGTGGGAGGTCCATGGCTGGTAAATGCACTTGTCAACAATCTGTGACGCAACTCTGAGTTGGAAAGGAAGTCAGCGTATTTCCTCATAACCCAGTTCCTCTTCTGGCCCACCTTCATTTCAAGCAGCTGTTCCCTGGGGCTGAAAAGCTGAGGTGATTTGGGAAGGCAAAGCTTTGCACTTCACACAATAACTCTGGAGTTATTTAATTGATATAAATCCCCAATGATAACAAATGGCCCTGGTGCTGCTTAAACACAAGCCTGAATTGAAGGACGGCTTTAAAACCTATGCCTGTCTTGTTTTAAAGCATGTGCTTATCAGGGTTGATCTTGCATTCCTGGAAAGATATTTTCAGTGGCTGGAAGGGCTGTGGAACTGGGAAGGATCCAAATAGCTTTTCCCCTGCGCCTCATGGAGCAGGTTAAGCAGCTGGGTTAGAAACCTTTCACTGCTGGCTCAGGTCTCCTGCACCCACTAGGAGCTGGATGCTGACAGGGGAACAAAGGCTGATTGCTTATGAAGAGGGGAAAAAACCCTGCCTTTTTAGTTTCACACTTTTGTGGTGCTTGATTAAGGGAATGATGTCTCGGGGCTGGAGGAAGCAGCTGCTGTGCTTGGCACATGTCCCATGGTCCCCTTGACCTTTTGCCTTCCCACCCCACTGTTCCCCCTCAATGCCTGCTTTTGTCTCACAGTTGTTCTACCCCGGCTGGGTCTTGCCCCATCTACAAATCCACTCTCTTTGCCCTCTGAAAGCAAAGAAAAACCCCATTCCCCATGAGCCAGTAATAGTGATGTTAATACTGGAATGCTGCTGCTGCAGCAGCTTGTTTCTCCTTGGCTGCCTGCTTTGAGGACAAAGGGTACAGCAGACCTGGGGATGTTCATGCAGTGGAGGGAATATCTGGTGTGTGGAAGAGGCACTTGTGGCCCCACTGCCCCCTCTTGAGTACCCAGCTGAGCCAGCCCCACTCCATCCCTTGGCTTTTCCCACTCAGCCTGGGCTAGGGGTGGATGCCAAAGCCCAAGTGGGTGATGGTCCTGGAGCCTTGTGCAGCCCTCAGTTTGGGGCAAGGAGGGAGAACCTGCAAAGGGAAAATTTCAAATGAAAGTATGTAGGAAACAGGTTTGGTTGGTTTAGGGGGCTTTTTCTGCAGAATTTTTTTAAAAACTGTTTTAGCTCATGGCCAGGAGGGAATTAACATAAGCTTAGAACATGGTTGTTGTCAGAGAAATAAAATTGGACTAATTTATTTAAAAATAGGTAAAAAATTAAAAAGCTGTAAATTGTGTTTTTTTCCCTTAGCAAGTTTCTGGCTGTTGCCAGCCTGGCAGTCTTTTCAGTGACAACCCTTTAGAGAGGATGCTTTTATTTATGAGCAATAGTATCTGCATCAAGATAGTTTTGCTTTCTCACATGCTGCTGCTGGCTTGGAGCAGGTAAGACACCTCCCTCTGCTCCTGTGAACCTCCATCTATGCTTCAGCTCTGTAGCTACTTCCCTGGCACGTAGCCAAGCAATTGTAAGCTGGGATGTTTAGCCCTGGACCAGCCAGACAGGAGATCTCTGTTGCTGCTAGCCCACGGTGGGAGAGCAGCAGTTAAACACTGTATTCATTTAGCTCAGAGAAAAATGTCCTGGTGAGAGGGGGAAAAAGCCCCTAGCCAAGCCTGAAAATTTTTGCCATGAACAGTACAAAATCCACTGCCAAGAGCATAACTGTGCTGGTTTGCAGTCCCTCGGTGTTGGCCGCCTTTTGGTTGAAGCTGCAGCTGGAAGCTGTTGTGCAAAGATCGAAGCCAAGTGGCTGTGGGCAGGGCTGGTGGCCTAAGGGAGCTTTTTTTGAGTGCCAGCAAGTGCTGGCAGCCCTGCAAGTGTGTTCTGCAGGAATGCACAGGATGTTGTTGAGGATGGGCATAGCTGCTTGCTGTTTTAATCCATTAGAGCTGCATTCATTGCCTTCCACTTCAGGCAGAAAGGAGCCAAACACCTTTGAAGGTCTTTTTAAGACTACATTGGTTGTGTGATGCCAGTCTTGCCAGAGGCAGCAGCTGGATGGTGATAAAAATGCTGAGCAATTGTTTCTCTGCAGCCCTCCCTTTATCTTGGGAGCTAACAGCAGGGATTCACCTTCCCATCTGTGGCCAGCAGCATCAGGAGGAAGCACTGCTAGCACTTCGGAGAGCAGCCCACTTTCTTCCTATCTTCACCCAAGTGCTGAAGTGTGCAGCTGTTTTGTTGTGGGGTTTGTTTGTTTGTTTTTGTTGTTTTCTTTTTTTAAAATACAGAATGTCCATAGAAGTAGATGTCCAGAAAGGTTTTCAAGATTAGCTTCTCAAAATCTTTGTTACAGACTAGTTGAGAAAGCCCTGTAAAGCTGGATGTTCCCTCCCTGCTCACCATGGATGCTTATCTAGCAGAACCCCGCTTGCTATTGGAATAGTCTGGTTCAAGGGCTGAGATTTATCAGCTCTACCTACACCTGAGCCAGGCCCCTCCAGTCAAGGCAGGAGCTGCTGGTGCTTCCTCACACTGCCCACAAAAAGGGGTTTCATGGAGTCAGTGCAGCCCTTCACCCATCACCTTCAGATGCCCCAGCCCAGCAGCCACCTCCTGGCAGCACGTGACACACCTGCTGTGTTTGGCCTAAGAGTGCTTTGACCCCCATAAGCACACTTGATTTTTAAGACAAACGAGCAGTATAGCAGCTGCCCACAAGTAGAAGGGTTTCATGTTCATGGCCACCTCACTGCAGGAAAGACAA